AAAACAATGCGCAACGCTTCCGCCCTCGTGCGTGTTACTGCTAGCAGGAAAGACAGACGATTCGCTTCCTCAGTCCTAGCCCCCCTTACCTACCTTCCACCGACGTCTTCGCGCTTCCTACTGCATGCTTCCAGCGCCTCCATGCCAGAACACCCGACCTCCTTTGTCTGCAATTTGCCTGCAAACCGTTTATCTTCACCGCGTCGTGTCGGTTTACACACGCGTACCGCGGCTCTGCGGCCCGCCACGCGCTCCCCTACCTCACCCCTGACGTGTGCTGACAATTGACGAATACGTCTGCAGCGCAACCGCTCCTTAGCTTTGGCCAGCTTGCTACGGCGTCCCTTATACCGCGCCCGGGCCTCTGCCGAGTCTTCTGCTAGATGAGCGCGATGCCATCGCCAATTTGAGCGCGCGCGCTATAAACGAGTGTGAAGTTCGGCCCAGCGTTCTGTTACAGTCCCACCGGATAGCCATCGCCACTCCTTCTATACCGAGTGCTTCTCACCATACACCTAGATATAAGCTGCCCACATTCATGTGGCAGCTCGACGCCCATATATAAGCTGCAATGTTGTCTCTATCGTTAACCAGAGCGCCAGCGTGGTTTCCAACCCCTTGGTTTGAGGAACGTATTATTGCAGTGTACGCCGTCAACCTCCATCCACCTGACGCGAATGATCTCAACAGTTTAACTGCCGTGCATACCAATAAACACAACAACAATACATTTTATCCAAAAATTATCAAATAACATAGAGTCTAGGTGCCATGGGCGTCAACCCCCCCACACATACTCACACACTCACACACTCTCTCTCTCGCCCTCTGTCTCTAGTAGTCTCGTCCCCGCAGTGTGCCGCCGATCTTTGACCCTCTTAACTTCACCTCCTCTCGCATCGCTTGGCCGCCCTCGCCCAAGCCTCCGCCCTAATTATTACACCGGCTAAACTATTATACTCTAACCTGCTTCGATGTATTACTTTACCGATTGTTTACGATTTTACACGCGGGATTGCTTTCGGCGTTATAATTAAACTATAGTTTGCTCTACCGCAGGTGCGTATTCTGTCTTTGTTCCGCACGTCTGCTTATGGTCAAGAGAGTTCCAACTTACATAGATCTAGTTCCGGACGTTTACATGACTTAAGCATAAATTTAAACAAGATTCATTCCTGAGCCACAAACATGCTTTCTTGTTTACGAAAAAAAAAAAAAAAAATAATCATTTCCCAGCTACAATTCGGCTGTTATTCCGCCAGTTAACTTTTACTAATAAATCATTCATTACATTTGTACAGTCTAATATTTATGCATTTTCATCTGTTCTGTAGCCAATGCGATTATACATTTGTGCTTGCCTTACCTGCCTGGTCCTTGGCTGGCAGCCTCGTGGCGCTACCATCAAATGTACGGTCTGGTCCGCTGCTTGAAACAGCAGACCTCACCACTAGCACCTTACAATTATTTACATAGTGGTTTATATAACTAACCCTTAACAATATTTTTCCAGTAATTTAGCTTATAAGCTTCTTTAACAATTAGCTTGAGTTATAATGTAATTATTTATTTAATTATATTCGCAGATATATGTTTACGTTATCTGTCTGTCCCCCGCGTTTTTTTCCTTGAAGGAGGTTTACCTACATAGTCAGATATAACAAAGTAAAATATGGGTTTACTATAAGTTTACTAATACTAATACCTATAATAGTTATATAGGCCCTTTACTACGCAAGTCCGAGGTATAACAAAGTAAAACTCGTGAAATTATCTATTATTATTTGTTAGTTATTGTTAATTATTATTAATTCTTTCGTTTGAGTTGATTGTTAAATTATATTAATTCTTTGTTAGTATTTGTTAATTATTATTAATCTTGAGTTAGTAGTAAGATTGAGTTTTGTATTCGTAGCCTCCTGATACGGTGCGACGAGCTACCCATGCTTATCTTCGGAAGATGAACTTCAATAGCTTGCATGCTCTTGGAACCATGAGATCACGGCAGGAGGCAACGGGCGTGCAGCCAGTTGGTGTGCCTGTTTGGTTGCTTTGTGGCCGTGGTGCTATGTGTGGCGGGACGTGTGTGGTGTGGTGCGTGCTGTCGTTCGTGGTTGGTGTTTGTGTGTGTGTGTGTGTGTGTGTGAGCGAGCGGGTGTGTGTGTGTGTGTGTGGTGTGTGTGTGTGTGGCCTTGTGTGGCGCGGACCTGTGGTGTTGACTGTGCTGTGTGTGGCCTGTGTGTGTGTGTGTGTGTGCGTGTGTCTGTCGTGTGTGTGACTTTGTGTCGTGTGTGCTGCTGTGTGTGTGTGTGTGGACGCGAGTGTGTGTCGCCTGCAACCGCCTCCGACGTGCCGTGCGTCCGGGTGCATCGTGTGTTTTCGTGTTGACCTCACCGGTGTCGTGGGGTCGTGTCGTGAGTGTGTGTGTATGTTGTTTGTGCCGTGTGTATTTTGCTTTTGGTGCTGTGATGTGTGTGTGTGGCTCTTTGTGTGTGTTGTGTGTGTGTGTGTCACAGTTACTATAGCCTCTAAATCACGTCAAATTAGTTTACCAGTCTACCAATCGATAAAATCCAAAATTCGCTGCAATATGTTAATGATGTGTTGTTTGATTCTGCATTCGTTTAGGTCCTAGCGTTTCAGGCGTACGTAAACAACAGGAGTAACAGCTATGTTAAAGATGGAGTGCTTTTCATTAAACCCGTAAGTATATCGATGTATATATGTATATATTTATTTAATTATTTATATAGTTAATTATAATCATATTTTATTTGTTAAATTTGCACGTCAGTATAGGAGAGCCAAGTATCATAGTAATAATAAAGTAATAATAATAATAATAATAATAATAATAATAATTATTATTATTATTATTATTATAATAATAATAAGAACATCGACAGTTGTATCGCATGTGTTTGTTACGGTTAGCTTTGCGTTGCGGTCTGAATGTGTAACTGTTGTGATGCCAGCGATCGCTAGCTAACGCCCCACGATGCAGTACGGGGTATCTATCTATCTATCTTGTCTTGACATGCGGTCTTGATGCGTGCATGTTCGCCCATTACCAACGAAATACCCTCGTGACTGAAATTCATATTCATATTAATATCGGATTAATTTGTAATCATTCCCCGTCATTACTAGTTTAGATTCACCATTGAATAGTACTGACCTTGAGCTGTACTGACCTTGAATAGTACTGACCTTGAGCTGTACTTTACGACAATAACAAAATATCGTGAGCTGTGAGTTCATTAATCTACCCGGATGCGACCATCATCACGACCAGCGTTTATCAGACCCTGAAGTATTTCGCAGAATTTCTAAACTCGTTTCCTTATCGTAAATCGCTTTTGAGCGATAGTTCAAACCATGAGCAGACGCCCGGGGGCCGGGTGTGTGCACGGGCTACAATATAATATGCCACTTATCATTAACATAATTATCGCGAAACCTGCCATTTCACGACTTGATAGTTATTAAAGTGAATACTAATATTCACCATGTATTCCTGTCCCCCGACCAACATATTATAATGTCTTCTATCTTATTTGCTGGGCCGCGTTGAATAGCATAGCGTGCCTGCAGAATACAATATTAAATATAGGTTATATACAATATCGCTTATAATCTTCAATGCAATCCATTAATTAGAGTCTATATGTACAGCGTATAAGTACAACTGCCTAGAGCAGCACATGTATGTCATTGTACACCTTCACACGATCTCACTTTCTTCTTTTCTCGCTCTCTTTCATACTCACATCGTGCTGAAATGCCCCGCTAAAATGTCCCGCTAAAATGTGCCAGTTAACTTTGACAACCAAAGAAGGTCACTCCTTCGTTAATCAAGCAGCTTTTCTGTGGATCGTGTTGACGTCTATACTAGCGTAGTTACTAATATTAATCATTAACTCATTAATCATTACCTCATTAATCATTACCTCATTAATCATTACCTCATTAATCATTACCTCATTAATCATTACCTCATTAATCATTACCTCATTAATCATTACCTCATTAATCATTACCTCATTAATGATTACCTCATTAATCATTAACTCATTAATCATTACCTCATTAATGATTACCTCATTAATCATTACCTCATTAATCAT